GAAAATAGCTTGTGATTGAAGATATTATAAGTATATGTCACTTAAAATCGAGAAGCTTTCTTATTAAACCATTTTATTCACGATTCTCTCTTTATTATCGTTGATGCAGACCCGCACGAATTTGCATTTCTATATCGGAGTATTGGAACTGACATAAACCAGTTTATCGTGACTACTTAGTCTTAAGCTTGAACAAGACATGGGTATCATGCATCGAATTTGCCTTTTTATCAATTGAACAAATCATCATTAATCCATAATCATATATTCATGAAAAATCGATGTTGGAATGCAGAATGTTCGTATAATGTGATTCTCACAAGGTGACTGTTCACGTCCAACATTCGTCCGCGAAGTTGATCTAAATATACGCCATTATACTTGCTGTTCATGCCTCGTCGCGCGTACATCCCTTTTTTGTGGGAACGTGGACACTACGGATGCTCTTTGAACTCGTGGGAATAAGACCCACCACTGTGTTTCAAGTACATGTGCCTGCGTTGGTTTATTTATTAAATTTATTTTTATCATTCGCAGACTCCACGTTGACACTCGCGTAAATACGGATGCACACATTTGAGTCTATAAGTATCTTAACTGAAGGTAATACGCGTGATGCTAAATGGCTTTCATTATAGCACTTCATTCGCTTTTCCTTCGCTTGCCACTCATTCTTTTGTGTAGCCCAAATTCGTCGCTCCATGAGAAAGATTAAAATAATGCTCGCTTTATAATTATCATAAAGAGATGGAAATGTATATATATATATACTTACCCGCATACTTGCTTTAATTTAACGCGGCAAAGTTTTATAACAATTTTAAAACGCACAATTTGTATTTGAATAATTTGTATCGATTTGCATATATATATATATATATATGTATATAAAATATATATAAATATTAATTTATTTCTATTTTAAATCAAGGTTTTAAATCAATCTAAGAAGTATACCAAACAATCCTATTTCATATTATTATTATTATTTATTCTTTCTCTCTGCCGTTAAAAACAGATATCGAAATAAAAAAATTTAATGAAGACATATGGAAAACATAAATTTTATTAATTAAAAGATATGTGACTACATTCTGTAGTGTTCGTTATTTATGATACACGTACTTTATAAAATAAATATACGTTTTATACATATATTCTATAACTATACTTTATTATTACTCATATAGCAAAGCTAGAGTTTTCAAAAGAATTGCAAAAATGTGATTTTGAATATTTAGTTTATAATTAAAATGTTTATACGTTTTATAATTTACACGAATAAGAGTACGTGTGACGAAATATTTCAACATATCTACAAACTCCTTAGACCCATTCTTTTTGGCTGAACTTTTGCATCAGTTCATTTTTCTTCCTCTTCTTTCCTCCTGGAAAGATGAATCGATAGCTAGAGATACGCGAGCGAGTGATGTGTGTGAATGTGCAAATTATTCTTATAAGCCTGAATAAAGTTAATTTTTTCATACAAAAAGAACTAAAGTGTTGTGTTTGTGTATACCATCCTCATTGCGAACAGACTACAAGCACACAATGGATTATTCTCCGATAACGCGGAAGCTTACAAGAGACCATTCTGAGAGGAAGGAAGGAAGGAAGGAAGAGATTACTGAAGGCAATCTAGAGTCGCGAGAGAGGCTGAATCCTAGAATCCCGGAATTAATTTAACCTTATCAGTTGTAGATAAAACTGAGCGACAACCATCAAGTAGTGAGTGCCAGAGACATAATATAATTATTTTATCTGCGGAATTAATTAATTAGGGTAATTAATTGGAGAATATTCAGAATCCGGTCACACCTCTACTCCGGATCTAACCGTTGGGATCGACTGGACCCTACCCCGAACCTTGCAATCGTCCACTAAAATCCATACCCGAGGAAATAATTTATTTATATCATATAAAATTACAATGTACCAAGGAAAAAATGGCAGCACCAGTGCTAATAATGTCAGCGACCAGGAAAGAGATGATCAGCCAACCACCCATTTATATGACCATGACAGTGGATCAGCAATCGACAGGCAGATATCAATAAGATCAGGACTACACATAGAAACATACCCGTTGAGAAAAGCCGGACATTAAATTTTAATTAATTACCCACAGGAGACGATAAAGTTTGTTTGATGTATTATTTAAATTTATTACAAGCGTCGGTTACGATGTCATTGCAAAGACAAGCAATTGATGTTATAAAAGTAGTCCGTCGTCACGTGGCATTATTTGTTTTTTATTGAGTTTTTTATTTGACTTTATTAATTACATACTATGATTTATCCTTATCCATACGCGAAATATGATAAAGGAAATACTATATCTATTGCAGATAAAGAAAATTCTTGATTTAAAGCTTAAGAATGGCGAACTACAATATTGAGAATGTGGTTCATTGTCTTATAAAAACTAACACAAAACATTTATTAATTAATAAATCCCTTTGGATTAATCAAAAATGAATTAAGTACATTAGCTTTAAGATGATAAATAAAGATGATGAGAAATTAGAATTAAAATGCTCTTTCTAAAGAAACAGCCTGTTATTGAAGCATAAAATGTCCACTTATTATAAGTTATGAAAAGTATAAATTAATTTGCGTTTATTATAAATATTATTTTGTACTTTCACTGCGTGAAAGGCATTTTAATCCTAATTTTTAATTATAGAAATAGTTAATTTATTCTTATTTCTATTAATAATAATTGTATAGTTTAATTAATTATACGAGAATCTTATGAATTATAATGATATTTTAGAAAAAAAGAAAATTCAGAAATATAAAGAAAGACAAGATAAATAAATATTTATAAAATATTTAAAAGATAAAATGATCAGATGAATAATGTAAGTGTAGACAAAGCAAAGGAGGAAGAAATTGAGAATAAAATTATAGATTTAATAGTAATATCTTCATTTCTCTTTTTGTATAAACTTCTTATAAATAAATACATAATTTATACTTTCTGTGTCTAAAAACCATTTGAATAAAAAAATCGACGCACTTGGTTTTATAAAAGAGAAACAAGACTAAAAGTCAATGTACTCTACGCTTGAAAAATATCAAAGAATTAAAATTAGGAATGTCCGTGGAGTGTCAGTGTCAGTGGTACGATGTCGGTGATAGTGATGGAGAAGGCAGAATGCAGCTCTATAGATGCACCGATACGTAGGAAATAACGGTTGAAGAGAGGGGGTGGTACGATGGTGGTGAACGCGCGCTCGCACTCTGCAGGGCCCACTTGTTCGTTCTCCACTACGTCGGCTTGTCACTCGCGAGCGTGTTGCCGGTGCGGCAACATCGAGTGCGTTCTCCTTCGACCTGGCCGCGATCCCCGAGTTTGTTCCACTCGAGAGAATCGCCGGGAACCACCACGAACTATCACAATACCGAGGGACGTGAGAAAGAACAATCAGTTCCTATAAATTTTTATCCGCGAAGATCCAAGAGTGATAAAGATCTAAAGTGGTGGAGAACGAATCATCTATCAGTGATCGTAATTAACGATAGAAAAGTGCACGTGAGCGTCACATTGTGCGCAGAGCATGTTCTAAGGATTATTACTTTTTTTTATCGTATCATTTTTTTTCTTCATTCGGTGATCACGAAACAAAGAGACCGAGAATGGCAAACGAGACGTTGGCGCGCGAGGTGGACGCGCACATTGTGACTATTCTATCGAGGCTATCGGCCTTCCGAGAGAACAATGCCGATGTGACTGATAGAAAGGCACCCATGTCCGTCGAGGCACGCAGTTTAGAGCTATGGCGAGCGGTAGCTGTCGAATGTTTGGCCACATTCCTCTTCAGCCTCGTAGTGGCTGGTGCAGCCGCCGCCTCCGCTGTATCCGGAAGCGGCCTCTCTGCGTTAGCCACCGCTGTAGCTTCCGGTTTCGCTATCGCTGCGATCTCCCTCATCTTCAGCCACATAAGCGGTAAGGGTATTAATTATAATGATATTGTTATGAAAGTAATAAAATAGGGAGTCATGTACTCGTACATTTGTCATTGAGTTTCGAGAAATGTGATTTTGTCAGAATAACAAGATGATTCTTTAGTTAATACTTATATAAAGTTTTTGAAATTAAACATTTTTTAAATTAAAATAATTTTTATTTTTATAATTAAAAAATTAGTTAACTGTAATTTTAACTTTGTTTAATTTTTCATTTTGTTTTTATGATTTAGAAAGGAGTAATAAGTTCACTTATATATGTCTATTTATCTATATCTATTTATCTTTTTTTCGTTTCATATACTAGGTATAGTAAAAAGAAATCCATTTTTCCATTCAATTTCATGCAAAAATAATAGATTTCTTTTTACTACACCTAATATGTTAAAATTTTATATGTCAATGTTTTTTTATATACGTGAAATGAAAAAAGTATAGAGAGCGTTCTATTCCATTTATGCGTAACTAAAAAAATGATATTACATTAACAGCATTATTATAATTAAAAATAATTCTTGTTAATTTTCAACATTATTAATGAAACAAATATATCATGCTCTTATTTTAATAAAATGTTGTTTATTTAATTAATATCAGGGATATACCAGATATTCGGGAAGAATTGTCAAATGTTCGGTCCTTAATTAATATTTTAATTAAAAAAATAATCTTGTTAATATTAATGAAACAAATCTGTCCTTATTTTAATAAAATATTGTTTGTTTCGCTAATATTGTGTATTCAAAATAATAAAATTATTTTGAATTAAATTAATGCTGTCAATATAATAAACATTCTTTTTTCCGTGCAGTTCTATTTAATTGTTGTATTTCAAAGAGGAATTAGTTTTTTTGCATAAATATTCATAAAAACACTTATATTTACATGTAATAGTCCGCTTGATTTCGAATTATAAACACATTTGATGTTGCGTCTGCAAGGCTTCTACATAAAGCGTTCAGAGACTAATTACGTAAAGGGTCGCGAACTGCTTAATTCGACGATCTCGTTGCGTCAATAGTTCTGTTCCTTCTTGTACATAGGTTCATGAGCGACGGCCCTCGCGATTTCTCTCGATTGGCTCGTTAACCGATTACGCTGGCGCGGCCAACATTACTATATTGTGCGTGTCTGGAACGTATGTGGGCACTCTCGAGTACGTTCCGCCGGCACGCATGATACGCGACATACAATGCGTGTAATAAACTCTCGGTTGTCGTACTATATGCCGGAAACCCGATCGCGTTTGCTCCCGACTCGCTATCATTCCATAAATAAACGCAGAGAATGCGCGCGAACTTAATCCATTCAGACATTTCAGACTGTTGCACAATGTACATCAAATTTGAATATATCATCCCCCGAAATTTATTTACTCCTATTGATTATTATCTGAAAACAAATGTACGTAATAAATATACATATTGGAAAAATAGAAAAAAATATAATTTTTAGTATGAATTATTTATTAAAATATACAAAGAGAAAAATGTTTGATTGAATTAAATGGAATTCTGAGATGAAAAATGAACGATATAGAATTCTGATTAAATCTACTAAATTTCTGATTAAGTTTACTAAAAAAATTCTAGTTGAAATAACCAACATTTAGAATTTCCTTAGAAAATCTATTTAACCTAATTTAAAAGAATTTAACCTAAAATCTAATAGACTTATGCCCATTTCCACCAACGTAGATTAACTTTAATTAATCTCGGTTCAACTTACTCTTTGTCTTTTTCTAATCTTTAACTAGAAAAAAAACTAGAAAAAGACCAAGAGTAAGTTGAACTGAGAATAAAGTTAATCTACATTGGTGAAAACAAGCATTAATCAGAATTCTGGATCATTCATTTTCCAGATTTCCAAAGTTAATTCAATCAATATTTTTCTGTATTCTTGGATCGAATTAAAAAAAAATTTTAGTATGATTCCATTAAAATCAAATCTAAAGAAGTTAATCTCATTCATTAAGCGACCGTTTGTAACTTAAAAAGAATTCTATTTTATAATCCATATTAGAATACATAAGGTGATTAAAAATAAAAAATTCTCGCGTCGATCTAAAAGTATCTTTATTTTTTTCGAGCGCAAACGGGATGCACTGTCCCTGTTCGGGTCATCCAACCCATCGTCCGTAATTGAGCTCGTCTTATCTTATAACTTGTGTCACTGGCAATTATTTCTTCTTGGATTTATTAACGTTACAATTTTTAGTCAGAAATAAAAAAATGAACAGAAATGAAAGTCACTAGAAAGAAGCGTCGATCAAACCAACAGGGTATAAGTCGAGAGAAGAATTGTCCAATCTCCCTCTGTCTTCTTTGATTCTTTCCTTTTTTTATATGGAAAACTTTCTGCACGCAGGTGGACACGTGAATCCAGCGGTTTCGGTATCGTTTGCTTTGTGCAGACGGATTTCCCCACTTCGCGCTGTACTGTACGTGGCGGCACAATGCGGTGGTGGCATAGCTGGGGCGGCGATGCTTTATGGGTGAGTTTCGTCTTTGAAAATCAACATACCTTGATAGAAAATAATTCAGTCGGTTGCGCAAGATTGGTCGAAGTCGTCAACAACCGTTGAATAAATTTGAACGTAGAAAAACTTGGCAGATATTCTCTCACAAGATGGTTATCATTTCGCTTAGTATGAACAATGAAATGATTGACGATCTAGAGTGCAACGAAGATATCAAATATTATGATATGTCATGCAGAAGTTTTTTATTCTTAAGATATTTTTATTCCTAAGGAAAATCGTAAGATAATTGCAATAGCTGCATAATTTTTTTTATAAATTTGAAAAAAGGAGTTTAGATTTATTCTTTGAATTTTAATATAAATTTTTTAAATTCCTAAAATATAGTCGATAATTAGTTTTGTATAGAGTACCTTAATATCTAATCGCAAATGTAATTAGCAGTACAAAAATAACGAATATTAATAAAATCAGCGTTATCCGATGTGTAAAGTAGCGTGGGTCCTTGACAGTGTTCGGAATGAGATACACTGCTTTGTGAGGACAGCTGCTAGATAGAAGAACCAGGAAGGCATGTGGCCCATCCAAAGCTGGGCCGAGTTTTCTTCCAAGTGTTTCGTACCGTGGCCGGTGGCCTGAGCGAGTTTGGGAGGAGTCTAAATATTATCCACATCGTGATTTCTGTTTCACATCGGCTATGCGTAACAGTGAACAGGCAAATGTTTTCTTCGGCAATTTTAACGCTTTGTTTATGCCTTTCTTTGATAATTTCAAGGAAAATTTTTAAGAAGTGCATTGTTGAAGATAAAAAAAACGAATTTCATCGTTATGGATGTGCAAGAAATGCTTAAATTAAAATGCCATAAAAATATCATGCTTAAAAACTTGCAAGACCGATGCTCTTTTTTATGAGTATGTACACGATGAGTTCAACCGTAAAGTTCCAAGGACCAGGATTTTTATCCTTGTAGCTGTAAAAAATACCACGCATATCTTGCAAACGTAGATAAGTTCCTCCAACATGAAATATTTCGTATCGCATAAAGTAAACGTAAAGTATTTGTCGCCAGATATATAACAGTTTCATGATAATGATAATGCACTTTCTAAGTCTGAGACAAAATTCAAAAATATAAGCAAAATAATCGGGAATAACAGATTGAACCCATCTGAAATGTACATGCATACCAGATATACATGATTTCAGATAATCGAAATTTATTATTTCCTACCGATTTCCTATTGTCTGTACTTTTCAATTGTGTTTCAAGCTTTATAAACTTGATATGTTGGCACATTGTGAATAGAATAAAAATACAGCCCATTACGGACTTCGTGCCGAGGCATGAATATCCCAATTCGCCTCAGAAATATTATGATGTACGAAAGCACGAATACCTTCGAGCGATTCTCAAATAACCCCCTCGATATATGCAAGTCCGGTGCACGTGCTTCGATCTCGCCCGTGGGCAGACGGCCTCCATTCTCCTGAAGGGCGAGAAAAAAATAAAAAGGGAAAGGCGCGTGCATATACGTGTGTGTGTGTAGAATCGTGCGCTGGACCAAGAAGCAGAATATCGTTTGAAGGAGTGCGGGTAGATCGTCCTTTCGAAGCGGCAGCTGAAAAAGCCGAAAGAGTGCAAGGAGTGTGAAACGAAGCGAGAGCAACGGATAAGATGAGAGAATGAGACGACGACAGAAGGGGAAAGAGTGATATCAGGAATGCCTGAAACAATTACTCTACGTTTAATGCTCGTTTAATTTTCAGAGAGACATTTAAAGAATGAGAAAGTGTAATGTTATACTCTTCAAATAACGGCTGTTATTACACTGTAATATTACAGGAAGCGAAGTCTTACTTGAGAATAATCTCTCTCTTTCTCTGTCTTTTCTTATATATTAAAATTTATATTGGTTATATTTTTATCAATTCAATTTTATATATTTCTTAAATTTGCAGTATTTTTGTAACTTGAGAAGATCTATTCCAGAGCGCGAAATAAACGTTATTTTATTTTCTGTCTTTCTTTCTTTTTTAATGTATTTTTTAACTTAGATAAGATGCGAGTATTAAATCGTTCGAAGGAATGCAACAAGTTGGCACGAGAGACGTGTAAAATAAGATCGAAAGATGAGAAGAGAAAGCATTGAGGAGAGGAATGAAAAGATGATATCGTATGTAACAATTCCATATAATAATAATTATCGGATATTGACGAAAATATAAATTCATCGAAGAATGATATATTTAATAACTTCTCAAGCTCAGTAATTGATAACGAAAGATGAAGTATATACTGAAACGCTCGAAGAAATGCACGAAGTTGGCACGAGGGCAAAACAGGATGAAGGAGATCGAAGCCAAGTGATAGATGAGAAAGGGGGTGAAGGGGAGGAAAAAATGGGAGTGCAGGAGAGACGGTAACGAGAGAAGGTGAGAGAAAAACCGTGGTGGCAGCGCGACGGAGAGCGGAAGGAGAGCGACAGCAGCTCGTAAAGGCGGTGGATGAAGAGATGCGATGAGAGAAGTGGGAGAGGCAGAAAGAGGCACGCGTAATTGGCAGGCGAGGGAGAACTTCGGAAGGTGAGCACCTGCCTCGTACGTGGAGAAGTGGAGTCCCGGCGGTCCACCGCCTCGCAGCTGCCGCAGATGTTTCCCCGTGGACCAAAAAAGATCGCGCGGAAAAAGGAACGCACGAGGTGGCGGCGGCGAGTCGGTATCGTCGAATGAGGAGAGGACGAAGATAATGAATACTCATGCATGCACACACCAAGGTGGGACAAGTTTCACGGCATCGCATCGGGATCGGCCCGTGAAGGAGGACACGCCGCTTCGGTGTGTTCGAAGAGCGGCGCCGCCACTGCCGAGACAGATGTTCCCGCCGTTGCGTTGCGGAGATCATTGTCCGTTCTTCTTTTCTCCGCTCCGCTCCGAGGTTCCTTTCTTCGCCGCCGAACGATGTACCTCACCAAATTTGGCTTTATCCTTCACGTCGCGTGTCCGTGCTCGCGGCGCCTGCTTTCAGGATACTGAACCACCGATGAAATATTTCACTTTCTTACTTCAACAACTTTAAAGCTATAAATTCCGATCGAGCAACATTTTTACTATACATATTTATACATGTAAAAAATTATAAGCCTATTTAATTCGATTTGTGCATCCATCTTTTTTATTACATTCAAATTATTCTTCATCTTAACAATTATTATTCATTCATATTCAGTAATTTTATACAGTGTCGACAAAAACTCCAAATTTAAAATGAATGTATAATCTGCATTCATTCCAATGTGTCTGAAATCTGCACTACTGTTTTTTTTTTTTTTTTTACGATACACCTTTCCTACTGAATTGATACAAATCGGGTTTATTGCATGTATCAGCTGCAAGCATCATTAATATTAACGAATTACTCCTCGTATAAAGTAGGCCTGCAAGATAATCTACTATTTTCTTTTTTACATTTTGATTCTGCAAAAAAATCTGCAAAAGAATTATTTATTTTTTGTTATTGTTTTAAATTTTGATTTCTTATATCAGTATATTATATTCACTAACCCAATTGAATTTCTTAATCCTACTATTTCTTTTTTTCTACTCATCCATGCGAAGTGATGCTGCACGTTTCTATATATCTCATCACGTTCTCCATCTCGTGTGACACTTGCCCGGCCACCCTCCAACCACCATATGACCGCACAAAGAGGTAACAAGTGCGCGATATGTACTGAAATAATAATCGAACAATACTCTAGTTAACCGGACGGGGCCAACAGGGCCTTTCCCGAGACGTCTCGGGGGAATACCGGCGAGCTTGGTACAGAAAAAAAAGTCAGGGCGTGAGATCGAGAGAAAGAGAGAGAACGAGAGAGAGAAAGAGAACGAGAGCACGAAGAGTGCACTTGCATCTGTTGCGACTCCGCTGGCTAACAGCGGCGGGTGTAAAACACGCGTGGAGGCGATTTCCGGGAGGGGATGGAGGGGGCCGAGGGGAAAGAAATTATGGGGAACCACCAAGGGATGGGTTTTGGCGTCCCTATCGTCTCGTCCGGGATCATTCTCAGTGCCGACTGCGCGGCGCGTGTGAGGTAATAAATATAAAAACCATCCGATAAACCCCAAAGTGAGACTATCCGGGTCGAAAAACGTGATGGTAGAAGAGGGAAGAAAAAAAATGATAGAAACGGCAGCCGCGAATTTAACTATCCGTGAAAAATTTACTGTCATCTCTTCATTATATATACTTACAGTCTTACAGGATTTTTCCATTACTATTATTATCGGCAAGGGAGTAATTTTTTCCTGCAAAAATGATAAAAAGGACAGTAACTTTTATATTTATAAGGGCGAAAGACTTTATTTCAAAAGTTATTCTGCTCACATGTTAAGATAAAAAAAATCCGAAATCTCTTATTTATCTAGGCAAACTAGGCACGTGCTTAGAATCTGTATTTTTGAGCGTATAAGTACAATCGAGATAAACAAAGATACTAATAATATAAATAATGCAAATAATACAAATAATATAAATAACATAAAATAATATAAATAAGGAAATATTCTTCTATTTTGATTTTATATAAATTTCTATCTAAATTTTTTGGAGTGGAATCTCATTCTAAAGAGTAAAAATTGAGCCAGTCTTAAAAAAGAATAGCTCAATTTTTAATCTTTAAGAAAATGAGATTTCATTCTTTAGAGTAAGATTCACTCTAAAAGTTTTAGAGAGTACATATTGAAAATTATAATTTATTTATTTATTTCGTTAATTCTATAAACAATTTTTTCCTTGATCA